GTGTAGTGGAACCTAGGAAAACTTTTCGAAGATAACAATGCAGTATAATCGCCTCTTCCTCATCTTCATACCCCCTTAAAGGCAGCGATTATGGAAAACTGAAGAAGAGTTCAGTGTGACGTGCTGGTGCTAAATGGTGCGCAAGTTGCAAAAAAAAAAGAAGAAATATCTGTCCAGAAAACGCAAAACGGGACGCTCTTTTTCGGCCATTGGTTGTCACTCTTCCTTTTTTTCGTTTTCGGCTCAGAAAGTGGAGTTATGAACGAGTTTATCGCAAGCGTTTGATGGCATCATTGCCAAAACACACTTTGAGATTTGTGCCGCTTCTGACCCCCCGAGCTCGTCCAAGTCAACAAGTAACCTGATGGTCGGATCACTTTTGGTTGCGGAGTGCTTTCGAAGTCCTGCTCAGCAACACCAGCACCCTTTCGTTGTGAGGCGCCATATTCCGGCCTTCTTGGCAATAACTGCTTCGTGTGGTGCATATGCTTCCCCGATGTGCTCCCCCTTTATCGTAATCGTTTCCTTCAAGGAAGCAAATAAGCAATAAGTTTTTGTTGCAACGTTCTGAAAGTGGACGTCACCCGCATACCGTCGTCGAGGCCAGTAATTGTAAGCCACAAGGAAAATTGCATGGACCTTTTACAACTTGACGACATCGTAGCAGCTATGTGTGACGTCATCCTCGCACCTCGTCGGACATTGTGCAACTATGTATGCCACGTCCATTGCGTTTATTTTGTTCGCAAATGCCCGAGTTCCCAAGCTTTTTGTGTTCATTCTATAGGCCATACAGCAACATAGCCGAATCACGTGGCTCACAGAATGGCTCAGAGAATGGCCATGCTGCCTCGGTAACAAGGGCCCGAAAGGGCTGGCAAAATGACTGGTGTATGAAAGCTATCATACTAATACATGAACCAGAGTTTGTTAGTCTGTCCTAAAAATTCGCAAACGCTCCCCAAACGTACCTAATTTTTGCTTCGAAAACTCACCTAAGGAGGGTGGGGCAAGTTCGCAGTTGGTGGAAGCATGAGCCGCTCTATAAGGGGAATTTTGGTCATGGGGAAACCACCCACAGTGGCCCGGGGCGGGGCGTGTGTCCGAACAAAAATTCGGCTAAAAATTTGATGTTTGCTCCGGACATGCCCGAAGGTTTTCGGAGGCAAAAAAAAAATGGGGCTAGATACGGCACTACCGCTCCACAAGGGGAACATATTGGCCATAAGAAACTCCGCCCTTAGGGGGCGGAACATGCGTTCAAAAAAGCGGGCTTGGCAAAAAATCGTCCAATTCGCTTCAAAACATCTCAGATACCACGAGAAATGAGGGCTGAGTAGACAAGGTCACTCCTA